CACTTCAAAACACTGTAGGAAATCATGGTAAAAAATTATACATTTACAGAACTTACATTAGGAGTGAAACTTGGTTTTAAGAGACGTTAATGATGTGGTGCCTGCTATATAAACATCTCTTATGAAAGAGAATCTAATGCTAGAACAGAACTAAAAGCAAGCAGAAAATTGCATACTTCTCGTGGGGATGAGGGAGGATTTAATTAACTTCTGAATTTTAAGCCTGCAAATACCTGTCGTCAGGATTTAGACTGAAATGCTTCAGGACAATACAAATTTCCTATAATATAGTTCCTATCATATATCACTTTATAGTGATATATATATAGGTAAACTTTTATATAACTTTATTTGTATTATACGAATGACTACTGCTTATTTAAAATGGGATTCTAAGGCACTTTAAGTTTTTTTTTTTCCCCCATACATTTTATTTTTTTGCAGGCCAAAAAGCTTTGTATTGAAAGTCGCAGTATCCAGCTGGGCAAAAAGGTAAAATACTAAAATATTTCAAAAATAATGCTGCTTTGGTCATTAATAAATGAGAGCACAGGAAAAAGAGTAGGAGTTCACAAATAAAGACATTTTGTGTATGTAATTGTGAATGAAAAGGCAAACAGGGTTTCAGACATCTAAAACTTACTTCACTGAAAAAGAAACCCTAAACATGCTAAACAAACAGACAAACACTCAATTTATAGACCAGAGGGGAGAACTGAAGATCTGCTGTCTGTCCTGAGAGAGGGAACAACCCTGGGGCATTTATGGGCCGTTAGCTGACAGAGCAAAAGTAATTAATTTGACAGATTAAGATAAGAGCCGGGTCATCCTGCCAGGGACTGGCAAGCAAGTTTTCCTGCTTTGAAAACAAACACTTAGTCCTTGGTTTAGCATTTCTTTAGGAACTCTGGGCTCTCTGGAGTCAGTACTACTTCTCCAAACTCTGCAAAGTGAAAACTCCACTTCAGATTGGAAACCACATGCAGAACATCTAAGAAAAAGAAATAGTCCTGGGAAAAAAAAAAAACTTCACAGATATATTTCATTTTATTTATTTGTTCTTCATTTTGTATAGCACACTTAAATAACACTTGCTCATTTAAACTTCCACGATCTTTCACCTGCATTGGGAAAAAAGTAAGAAGCAGCCGTGTGTAAGATGCTGAAGGCATTCATGGAAGTAGGTTGCACTTCGGGTTCTCGACGTCATCATAAATAAGAGAGCATTAAACCAGCTGGGATTTTAACAGCATCATTACTCACATATCATAGCAGCTTAAAAGGTTTAAACTAGTTTAATCCATTTTTTATTATTATTTGGAAGAAGTTTCTAATAAACTTTACTAAAAGATAAAAAGTATACCCACAATGTACCTAATTAGAAAAAGATAAAGATGCCCAAACACTATAAAACATTGTTTTTCAAAGGTAAAGCTTTTCTTTTTAGTTGTAGGTCTTAAAACCCACAGTAGCCATTCAGCTTTAGCTAGGGATATAATTTTGCAACCACATAGATGAAGGCTAGGCATTTCACGGTATAAGTGATATTTTATGCACCATGAAACATCTTTAAAGTGGTTTGAAGTTCCACAGATGTTGAACACCCATCCTTGAAGAGTTGCTAAGCTAGACAAACAAAATCCCAATTTATTTCAGCAAATGTTGGCCAAGTCGCTGGAAAACTGCTCAAATAGTCTCCAGATCTGTTACAGGTATTTGAGCTGATGCTACGGTGTGCTGAGTGCCCCACACGCCTTTCGGGGATCATCAAGGAATGCAGGTGCTCCATATGCCCATACAGCAGAACACGTGGGACTTTGCTCAGATGAGGATCATTTAACAAAAGAAAAAGAGCAAATTGAGGTATGGTAACAAGCATTAATCCTAATCTCTTCCTAGCAGATTTCGGGTTTGGGTAACAATGCCTGGCAGGCCAAACTGAGCCACCAGTCAAGTCAGCTTCATTTCTGGGAGCTTACAGCAGTTCAGCTGAAAAATAATGATAAACTTTGAGCTTTGGTCACTGAGACTGCGTGCACAGAACAACAAGGAAAAGGAGTAACCACGAGAAGGCGACTGGGATTTACTTAAAGGTTTACACTGAATTTTAAGCAAGTCTCTTGTGCTGTTAGATAGAACAAGATATTTCTATAGCTGTAACTCAGGTTTCCTTGCATATGTTACAGGCTATATCACACATCTTTCCAGCTATCGTGTGCTTAAACCATATAGTGGCATGATGAAAGTAGTTGGGATATTTTGATAAACGAGGTCGTACTGCAGCATCTCATCCAAGTTGTGCTGCCATCTTGAGTGTCATCTTCAAGCTGGGGATGACTTAGCACAGACATTCAATCCAGTTTTAGGCTTCCTACCGCCTCTTGTGCCAAAACTTTAATGTGCTTCAGTGCATGAAAGAAATTTACAGCCAACACTGAAATATACGTTCTACCTCTCCATTTCATTTCACTTAAAAAAAAACACAGCAGTAATTATATTATCGTTTCATAACAGCTATTTATAACTTAGCCATAAACAGATGCTGATCTAAAGCTTTGCAGGCAGATCTAAGGAAAAATTAATTATTATAGAATTTATAGCAATATAAACCACTTGTGTTTTTATTCCCTGGTACTACAATTACTACTATCTTTAAATGACTGCAGGTCATATAAATTACACTCTTTTTTATTTTGGTCTATCCTTTAAGTGGGAGAACCAATAGGAAACCTGTTACTACAACTCAGTGTAAAAATCATTTTTGACCCTAGAAGTCAGTCTAAAGCCAGGTAGAAGGAATTGCTCCCATGCAAAATGAGCTTTGGGGCACACCACATTTTAAGAATGGCAATCTGTCTTTTGTAAGGACATAGCTTTAGTTGGTCTTTTAGATGTAAATTTTATCTACTGAATGTTCACTTATATGAGAAGGGAAGAAAGAGGGTTTAAATACATACACAAAAAAGTTTTAATTCTTCTGCAGTATTAGGCTGTTTGGATATCTTGGCCCAAACTTGTTCTGTTTTAAATTGTCATCCAGTTGATCTAATCCCATCGAGTCTTTGTAATGATTTGAAAGGAAGAAAAATCAGGGCCACTGGTGAAGCAGCTGTAGCTTGTGACCTCCGTGTGGACCCATGCTCAGAAAGTAGTTTCAATGAGCAGGACTGGGTCTGCATTGAGGCCATGCCCCACTCATACCCTTTCTTAATGAATACAATCCTGGTGTTTCTCAGAACCAATGGTTCAGCAAAGCAATTTTCTTATCTATCTATCAGTGAGAGTGGACTTCTCTACATGTATTTTAAATTACAGAAGCCAGTGAGCTCTACCAGTGCATTTTTAAAGGGTTTTCCAGAACCTGGCCACAGGAAATGCTCCAAGGAAATTGCTTTGCTCATGGTATCACAATGGCCAAAAAACTCTACCTTAGTGTCCTCTCAGACGAGTCATCCCAGAAACTAATCTACATCCTAAGAGAACAGGCAGTCTAACAGCCCCATCTGTCATGGGGCAAGCTATTCTGAGCCACATATTAAAGGATGATGAAAAGTCAGAGGCTAAGGGACCTGTCCAGTGCCTGCCAGCTGCAATACAAGTGTGCTTCATTAATGTCTGTGCATTCATCTTCACAACTCCTTGTGAGGTAGCAAGTATCTGCCCCCTCTCTTGCAGAAGAAGAAAGGGAGGCACACGGAGATGACGCTGTTTTCCTGGGGTCTTGCAGGAAGCCTGTGGTAAAGCCGAGGGTGGGTTGAATCTCCTCGCTTAACCACGGGACTGCCTTTCTTTCAGCTTTGCCTAGAAACATGTGGCTTTTGGCAAGACCTTCATTTCTGCCCGCACCAAACTTCCTGGACAGTATATCCTGTCGCAAGTGGTTTCGCTTCCCTATCCTGCTTGTGTGAATTTTAGAGACTGGCCCAAACTGCAAAGATTTGCTGCAAAGATTTGCCAGATCATCTTACCTAGTGTTTAGGTTCACTCTACAAGAGAGACATCGTGTAGCTGAAAAGTTCAGGTTTAAATCTTCAGTGCAGGTTAAAACCCTCCTCTGTTTGCTTCCTTCTTTTCTTCCTTCCAGGAAGAATGAAATATATGAACTAAACACTATGGATACAGAAAAAAGCCAATGAACAAAAACTTCTGATATTAATTACAAACATTAGTGCAAACCACACAGCAGATTATTTTTAGTACGCTCAATATTTTCTCTAAGAAGGTCATGAAACTGATATTTTAAACAAAGCCTATTCATTAGCCAAATAAGTGGTCAGCTTTGAAGATTATAAAAAGCAACCTGGGTTCGTTGCTACACATAATACTTCATACTACATATGTATGCTATATGTTTTTGAAAAATATATTAGTCCTGTGCTTATTTAAAATATAAATAACAGAAGAAAGACCAAATTCCAAAGCTGATCACATATTTGGCTAAGAGACCTGTCTAGCATCATCTTAACTGCCTGAGAACTTTTTTTTTTTTTTGAATTTAAAATTCACTTTGTGCCTAAAAACCAACACCAAAATCCATGCCTAACATTCAAATGCATGGCTCTGCTGACAAAGCTGAGAGTGCTAACACTTTCTTTGACATCAGGAATTCAATTAACACTGCTGAAGTTCAGTTCTCACTTTTACATATCCAGATGTGGATGTAGGTGTTTAGCTTTATATCACTGCATTTGAAAATCATGGCCTTTGTGCCATAAAAGTCGAAGCTTTAACTCAGCCAGTTAAGAATATTTCAGGAATGCTGATCTCCTTGCTCAACGTTTGTTCGTTTGGCAATAGCTTGTATCATATGAAGGAAAAAAAAAAGGCAAAAAAACAGAAATTTGAAAAAGTACTTCACAAAATACTTTGTCTGGCAAGGCCAATAAGATAGTGAATGTTGTAGCTAGTGGTCTGTAACCCTCAGTAACTGCAGCTGAACGGATGAAGTCAGAATTTAGAAAAGTGCACTTTGTTATTGTTGTTTTATTTTCTCTTGCACACCCGGGGTCTTCTAGAGAAACTCTCTCCTCAGAGGTTTTCATCCAGCCATTTTACATAGCTGTTTCTGGTCTGAACTCCCGCAGAGAAATCAGTAGGCCAAATGGTGAATATCATACAGCCATGAAAGCAGTCATCAAAGTGGTCGAGTGTGACTTCCACGCCTGCGTTCTCCAGCCGCTTTGCGTACATCACCCCATCATCTCTCAGGACATCATTCTCACAGGTGAGGATGTAGGTCTTTGGTTGTCGCTGCAAAATTTCGTTTTCTGCCAGCAGTGGGACTGCTCGTACGTCAAGCAGTGCTGGTAACTTCTGGACGATTTCAGCCTTGCCTGTAGTTTGTATTACAGGTTTGTAGTTTTTTTTGAAAGATGAGGGGAGGAGAGATGTCCAGTTCAAGCGTCCCCTGAAGGACAGAGCTTGGCTCACGTCAAGAGCAGTGTGATTGTTGATCATCAGTGAGTGAGCCAGGTCATAGTTACCATTGACATAGTCTATCCAGTAGTTTATCATGACATAACGAGGAAGAACAGGCATATTCATGTTCTGCTGATACGAAGGTGTGTTAAAGTCAAATGCCTGAAGGACTGGATAAATTAAGGCCTGCAGCTTTGGTCTGACGGTCATATGCTCCTCTTTGCTAAGCTGCAGGAAGAATACAGGTCAGAATTGAGATAATTAAAAAATCAACATTACAGTTATCAACCTTGATCTATACGCAAGCAATCATTTTACAAATTTTAGGCCAAATTCTTCTCTAATACAATCCCATTGAGAGATGTTGCTCTTTTGGCCACAATACAAGCAACCTGACCTTTTTCTTGTACTGTAATGATAGCCATTATGGACCCTAAATATTTTAGTGGAGGAGTCAGCAAACACTTGTTTCTGTTCATCTTCCGTACAAGATTTCTAGATCCATCATACCCAGCTTTATCTCTCTTTCAGGCTGAAGATTCTTAGCTTATTTAATCTTTCCCTGAAGCAATCCTATATCATTGATTTAAAAAGTACTATGCATCAGACAAAGAAATCAGGAATGCTGTTTCCAAAACACGCTTCTGTCATGTTTAACAGTCCTCAAGACTGAAACTTCTAGTGTAATTGTCTCTTATTAATTTTTTCATCCTAATTCAATATTGCAAGGTTGTCATGATAATTAGCTGCCTGCACATGATATCAGCTTTCTTATCACCAATGGTTAATGATGATATGAAAAAGCTTATAATAGTATTTCACTCAACCATGAAAATATTATTACTTGCCCCAGGCTGCCTTTCAGATCTTTGCTAGATTAAATTGAGGTTACATTTAAACTAGAGATACATGAAATAACTTTCCTTAAAATTCAAAATGTTATAGGAAGGCAATTTAACAGAAGAGTTGTTTTCATTTATTATATTTTTTGTCCTTCATTTGTATTTGAAAGAAGTAAGGACATACTTTTAAGACAAGTGCCTGCAAAACAGGAAAATAAATTGATAAATTATGCATCTAGGTACTATTCATCTAGTTACCTATTCAGGAAAATACAGCATTCACCAACAAACAGGATTAAAAAATAAGTCTTTTAGCTTCTCATCGCTTAAAATTTGGCCCATAACAACTCATAAATATAGTAAGACACTGCAAAGCTGCTTGATTCGTGTATAATTGACTCATCTTTCTTCGTAGACTATCTAGATGCTGGCTTTCAGTAGCGAGCACTGCAATTTTGTCTCAAGTTGGCACATCACCTTGTGGTGATGCAGCACGGCCACCCTGTCGCATCAGTTAATGAGGAAGTGCTGTAGTGAGTGTGTGTCAGGCTCTGCACGTTACCTGCTGGCACACAGCAGCAGCCAGGTTCCCTCCTGCGCTGTCACCGGAGATTGCAACACGACTTGGGTCAACCGAATATTCAGCTAAGACAGCAGGATGCAAAAAATGCTTGGTAGCACGAAGGGCATCATGGAATTGCTCAGGGAAGCACACCTCTGGTACCAGCCTGTACCTACAGGAGAAAAGATGTGAGAGACAATCGTTACAATGAATATACCTCTCTATCAGCTTTAATATATTATCTGATATAGCTTACCAGCTAAAAACTATTTCATTAGGATAAATGCTACGGGAAAAATATGGGACATGTGCACCAATGTTAGACTTAATCTTCTAATCAGTATTCTAATTCAGAAAAATTAATACTAACCAGCTAGACAGGAATAACACTGAGATAATATAAAATTGTGCAGCACTTTCCTAGGGTTTCCCAGTAGAGGATTTCATCATGTTATATATATAAAAAAAGAATATTTAAAGCACCTCTGGTAAAGCAGTCATTGCAATCAGCTTGTTTTCAGTCCCAAATCCCCACCTTAACCCGCATGAGGGACAGTAAGTTATATATGCCCAACAGATTCAAATGAGACATTATGTACCTAAGCAGTCCTGTGTTGCCCAAATTGAATGTATTCCCAGTAGATGTCTGTATACCAGGAAAGGAATAATAGCCAGGAACTGAAGTAATGCCTGTTTGCCCTAATGCAACACATTCAGTAACTCCACTCCTTTATCAAGGAGACAAGCAGAAATCTACCCAGTTCAGAGGTGGAGAAACTGAGGTGCAGATAGATAAAAGAACATTTCCACTCACTAGACTTCTTCAGTGTCAAAGAAACAGTGTGGGAGAAGTCAGTTTGTATTTACTAAATCATATGTAACAAAAGAGTTGTTATTGGGCATAATGATGCCAAGCACACTTCTGTTTGTGGCCTTTTATATTCTTAATGGACTTTACACATTTTCAGTGGGGCTGATTAAGACTATTTTGACAAAATAGTTTTTATTGTCAACTTGAGAGAAAGCAGATCTTTACACAAGTTAAAGTTTCTCATTTCAAATCAAGAAAGTTTTCTGTCAGAAGTGTTTTGCTTCCCATTATTCCTGAGGCAAAACAAAAGCCAGTTTTCTGGTTTGAATATTTTATTGTTAGAAATCTAATCCAGCAGAATCACATATGCAAAATAAACTTCAAACTTAACTAACAAATGTTTCAGAGTCTAACTCTGTCCTGTTTTCAGGAAGCAATCTATGTATAGCAGCAGCCCCAAGAGAATATGAGACAGGCCTTTGGGAGTTTCTTGCAAAAGTACCTAACAGATTGTGTATGGATCATGAAATGAGATGTACAATTAAACCTAGGAGAAATCAAATTAGACTTCACTAATGGAGTAGAAAATCCTTGATTGAGAGACATAATGGCAAAGGAGAAGAGACAAACAATAACAGCTCTGAAAAAAAAAGTTAGTATTATACTGCCATAAACAAGAAAAATGAATAATAAGAAACTTTCCAATATTGCAATCACCGCTTGTCTGAAATGGCCAACATCCGTTTTTTACTTTTTATTGTTTCTACTGATAAACACCAAAGAAGTTAAAAAAAATCCACCCCTTAAAGTATTCTAGAATTAATTTTGCAGTAGTAACATCAGCTTCATATAATTAAGTTACAATTTGCTCACAGAACTTGGTATGCAATCAGCTCTAAGTGGGTAACTTGAGTAGCTGTATCAAGTGATTGCTTTTGTGAATTAAAATATTAAAAGTTGACAATAAGGATGAGAAAAGTATCAATCGCATTGGAGCGAACCAAGTAATGTAGTTAGGTAGCTAGGAAGAGTTTATTTATTTATTTATTCATTTAACCTTGGAATTGTTTAGCTAGTCAGAAAAGCAGTTGTGTTTCTCTTCCTGTTGTTTCCTGCTCTTGAGTAGAAAATTAAATTAAATTACGCAGGTTAAATTCACTAGAACGGTCTGTGATTGAGAGAACAGTGAGAATGTGCTAGACTCCACTGCATATATTGGTTAAGAGCAATGCCAAAATCACTTGCTAATTTTTATGTTGCAGCGCCTTTCTCAATATGACTTAGAAGCTCTGCTTTATAGAAAAACTTGCAGTTATTTTATATTTAATACACCTTGCAGCAGTGGGAGTGGCCACTGACGCGGGTAAATGGCCCTCCTGATGCATGGGGAGATTAAGACAGATGTAATTCAGCCTTCTTTTGGGTATGTATAATGCCCAAGTGTGTGTGTGTGTGTATGTATGTGTTTTAAGTTAATAAATATTTACAGAATCATAACTTAGGTCATTTGATCTCATGATTTAGTTGCACTCTTTTTATGTAGCTACATTTGCAAGATGCAGTAGGATTTGCATTATACTATTTCTCCAGCTGATTAGAGTGCTACTCCCTTTTCTGCATTTTTGCCTTAGAAATCCAAGTTAGCTTTTGATACTACTTTAATTTGTTGTCATTTTAAAAGGATAAAAGTACCACATTGATAAAGAAAATTATTTTCCAAGTTAAATTCTTATATACAAGTGACCAACAAGGCAAAAGGCAAATAACCAAAAGAACTAAATTACAGGTAAATTCCTTAAGATTTCTTATCAGTGTTAAATTACTCACTCAACTGAGACAACTACAGCATTGAGAGACTCGGCCATAATCCTGCAGAGGTTGTTATAAAGGCTTGTTCCTGGAATGAAATGACATAGCATTAGTGACATATGAGTCCATTTATGTCAGTAACTCACAAAGCTGTAGAGAAGCAGTCTCAGAAAATATAAATACATCATGCTAATATAAGTAAAGTAAATGAGGCCAGCTTGCAATTGAATTCTGAATACATATTCTAGCAGAAGAAACAGTAATTCACGCCTTGAGAAGTCCCAAAGTCCTACAGTCTTAATACTTTCTTTCTCATTTGTTTCTCAGCGACTTGGGGCAAGTCATTTCATCCACATATTGCTGTTCTCTCACTTAGGCAAAACTTAAGCTACCCAGTGGCCTGGGGGCATTAGTATCCAGGCACTGTTATTGTATGAGTCACTGCGTGTTGTTCATTTTATTAAAGCATGTACATTGGACTCAGAATTGCTTTGATTCAAATGAGTTGCCCTATTAACGTCAACTGAACTACTCATTTAAGGGAAAATTAATCACAGTTATCCTATTTATCAGGGGACTGATTTTCTGTAATTTTATTCCTTTCCAGTTACTTAATCATTGTTTCCTGGTACTATCAAATATAGTATAGCATAAAGCGTTTTCTAATGTATCTATAGCCTTAGAATTTATTATTTAGCAGTAAGGCTTGTGCCATTAACTTTTGTATCTTGGAACTGTAACTTGGACATTATCCTAATGTCTGACATTGCTGAGTTACAGTCATCCATAAAAGCACAATAATACAAACTTTTTGCAGAGCTACAGTCTGATGCAGATTATTATAGAACAAAAGAAATTTGTAAATAAGTGAAGGGCAGAGTTCTAGCAAGCATCCCTTAGATGCATCTAAGAAAATCCATCTTGAACCCAAATCTTAATTTCTCTGAAGGACGAGGGCAACAAGCAATATTTCTAATTGCTTTTTAGCAGCTATAGGACAGAAGTTGGGATTTCCAAAGCCACTTGAAAGACAGATTTTAGAAGTATTTAGAAACCTAAATCTCACTTAAATCATGGTCTAAGGGACTTATCCGTAGTCCAACTGCAATCAATAGGGATTTTGTTCCTGAAATATTTCAGAATATTCTTTATAGATGAGGCCACAGATCCTTCAGAATACATCCACGCTGCACTGGCTTCATATGTCAGGAGCAGTTTGGAAGGAAAAGGGGAACATCTCCTGTTTGACTGTGATCTTGAGACAGCTGTGAGAGCTGCACACCCTTTTTCTCCCCAAGACTTGCCTCGTTCTGTACAATGTGGAAGAATCAATGGCTATCTTATTGTCTATAGCTATAAATTACTTTCTCTGATTATGTCTGTGGCTCCTACATGAATTCTGTCATAGTACTTATTTCCAAGGTAATTTCTGCAAGTGCCTGGAGTATTTCCTGAAGGGAGCAGGTCATACAAAGTGATTGGTACCCACCTCTAGGAGCTTCCTTCATCATGCTGCCCATAGATTCTGTAATTAGCAGCATGCATTCCCAAGTAAGTGTTAGTTAGGAGCTGTACCTTAGCAATGCTGACACATGCAATTCTGAACAATTTCAGCACATTCTTCTGGGAATTATTATGTGAGAACGGGGCTAAACCCGTCGCTAGCTCCTGATCACCAAGGACAGTATTTGCACACTACTATAGCACTTATCGTAGGTATCAGGGACGCATCCAGGGGTCCCGGCAATTTAAACAATAAGCTATATTGTCCTTTCAGGATATAATGAAAATAAGTTTTTCCTCCTTTTCCAGCTCACATCCTGATGAGATATGCATTTCTACTGTGTGCTATGATTTTTTCCCCTCCCTTCTTGCATTTGATCTATCAGAGCGGAGGCAGTTACTCCTGAATGCAGATAGGTCTTAGCAAAATTGTCATCCCTAGCAGGGAAAGCAATTTTGGCTTCTCCTACTGCAAGGAAAACAGAGCTGTATTCAATTTAACTACAGGCAGACACGTACTTGCACTTGCCAAGGCCCAGCCTCCTCCGTGGATATAAACAACGCTGCGCTTTAGTGTCTCATCTTGCTTCGCAGCAGGTTCAAACACCCTGACTTCCACACCATCAAAAACAGCATCCGTGATGGTAACGTGCTCGGAAGACACGGACTTCAGCTTGTCAAAGGTACCAATCACATAATTCAGAACTATCAAGTGATGGCTGAGCCTCAGATAGTGAATCAGGTGGCACTAGGAGAAATAAAAGAGAAAAAAGGTTTTTGTTACTTCAGAGCATATTGTGCGACGCTGCATTGATGTTTAATGCAACAGTTTTCAAAAGAGAGTGTTGGTAGAAAAATGAATAGGGGTTCTTAGAATATTCACCAGAAAATGAATATGATTATTGGAGACCTCTAAAGCTTTTAAAGTGGCATTAAAACAAAACCCTGTCCATAAGATTTCCTGCTGTCATATAGAATCAAATGACGGGCATTAGGTGGATCAAGACAAGTCCAAAGGAGAATTCAGATCGTTCCTCTGGAAAGACACCTCTGGAAGGAGCCAGCCCTCACCAGGAGCTTTCCACCCTTGGACTTTAGGAAGCTCCTCAGAAGCTCCCAGTAGAGGGCAGTGATGCAGAGCCATTTTCACATGATCCTGACATACAAACTCACTTATTCGAGGTCCTGCCTCTGTTTACTCTTATCTAAACTGATTAGAGTAGCACTTTCCTCAAGGAAGCAATGACTGTGAAGTGTCAATAATGTTTAAAAAGCTCTAAATACTTCATCCCCTTCTGCTAACCAGATTTTTGTTTTGTTTTAATAAAAACTTTGAGTAGATTAAAACATGTTTCTGTGAGCAGCTCTAAATACTTCATCCCCTTCTGCTAGCCAGATTTTTGTTTTGTTTTGTTTTAATAAAAAACTAGAGTAGATTAAAACACGTTTCTGTGAGCGAGGGCAGGTAGGAGCTCTGGCTTTCCTTTAGTCTTGGGTGGTCATGTTGCACTCCCCATGGTGCAAAAGGGCTTGTAAAGGGTCTGCCAAAGGCTTGACCACACTGCAGTGCTGAGAAGGGCCATCAAAAAAGAAGGGTTTTCTCCCTCATTTGCAAAGTTAATCTCAAAGTTAATCCTGCCAAGGCAGGTTAGAAACTGAGCAGCCAGCGAAGCCTTCTGTGAAACTTTCTGGGTCAAGGCAGTGGAGCTGGAATGCAAAATAAATTGTCGCTATTGCTGGGTAGACCTGCTAGGAGGAATTAAAGCTGCCAGCAAGGCAGAGGGCAGGGGGTACTGCTCTTGTTGCACCCACATTGCAGAGGACAGGAGAACCTGCACAAGCGAATTTTGAAGCAGTCTGTTAACTGACTTTCTGCATTCTGCAATATCCACACCAAGAACTTCTCTTAGGTTCTCACATGCAGGACTCTCAGCTGTAATCATTTGTTTGTTAAAAAAAAAAAAAAAGAAACATTTGCTTTCAGTGAGGTGCTGTATAAAAAAAGGTTCGCATGGCCTCACTTCCACTGCAAGTTTACGTAGAGAGATTTATAAATGTCAAATGCAATGGACCTGCATGCGAGTGGAAGGGGGAATGCACTTCCAAAACAAGGGGAATTTACAGAAAAACTCCTTTCCTGCTTATCTTGTGGTAATGTCACCCTGTTGAGATAGTCTGGTGGGAATCAAAGTTCTAAAATGTTTGCTACTTTACAGATTAAATACCATTTCTTCCTACTGCAAGGTCTTTCCCTGAAAGAAAAATGCAGAAAGTGTCCAGCCAGCACCAAGAAATGATGAATTCACAAGGCAGTCTGTAACTTTGTATTTCAGATCATGCTTTTCTCCCACTGTTCCTTAAAATTCCCATAAGAAAACTCAGTTCAGGCTTTCAATCTTGAACTGGAGGTTCTCAAACATTTCATATTAACAGAGAAGCAAAGATGCATAGAGAAATGCCCTGACTTTTTAAGATCTGAAGAGCTATACATCTATTAATAGTTTGGCACTGAAGCTGTTGGATTGCCACCAAATGACCCAGCTAAAGATCTGGTTCTCTGGGTGTCCTTGGGAGCTTCTCAGGAAAGATAACCATTTTGATTCAATTGCAGGAATTCTGCCAGGAAAAACAACAGTTTTGAGAGATTTTTCAGGCCGACTCTGTTTTGCAATAGCCATTCCCTTTTTGTTTTCTCCCACAGCAGTTTCCATTCTGTGTGGACAGGATTACCACACATTCCCTGCAATCAGAAATGGTTTGATTTCAAGGCTAGTTACTGTTGTTTACCGAGATGTGTTTTGCCCTGTGTTTTAAACAGCAGAGCAATGCAGCCATCTTCAAGCTTATCACATGGTTTTTTCTTCCCCATAATGAACCACCTTTTCCAAGGATCAAAAGGGTGGTTCAGTGTCACCTTTGCCAGGAATCACAGGACCCCTAGGGAGAAATGTCTTGTACACCGGGTGCAGGAGGAACAGCATTTGTTAGATCCAAGCAACTTTTCTGCCAAGCACCTATCAACCGGTTTCTCTGGAATCTAATCTGTGTATCTTATCATGTATTAGGCATCGGGATTTCACTTTCTACTGGTAAACAGCCAGTCTGGTCCAAAGGTTTTGGAAGCAAAGTTGCAGTTGTGCCCTGTTATCTGACTCCTGGCAGCAGAGGATGTGCTCGGTGGTTGTCTCAAGCTCATCGAGGATGGCTTTGCCACCAGGACAGGTCTGCCTGACCTCTACTGTTGACTGTGCTTCCCTGACACGTTGCTTTTGCTGCCCCAAATGCACATGCAGCCTTGGAGTATCAGCTGCATGAGTCAGCTGAGGGTGAACTCAGTGAAAACACGGAAAAACAAACTTCAGCTGAGCATAAACCCAGCGAAAACACAGAAAAACAAACCTCGGCCAGCTTACTGTGCTGCTGATGACTCAAGGACGGGAAGAGGGAGCAGGGAAAAGGATGGGGCCATCCCCTGTGGGAGCAGCCTGCAGCTGGGCTGGTTCCAGAAATGACATGCAAGCAGCAGCTGCTTTAATCTTTGCAGGTATTCATGATTCTATATGATTTTTCTTTTCTTCCCGTGACCCAATACAAGACTCTTGCAGGCTATGAAACATAGCATGTACATGAATCGTATTTTATATAAGTGTGTGTGCAGGAGATGGACAGAGTGAAAACCTGTGGTAAAATGACCACACTGTAATGATAACAGATAGTGAAAAGGAAGAGGAAACACAAAGAAAAGGGGAAGTTATGAAGTTAAGGGACTGCAGAAAAACATACAGAAAAAAAAAGGGGGGGAGATAGTTGACAGATGAAAACTCTGTTCACACTTCACCCAAAAATCCTCTGCTAACCACAGGTGGAAAACACAAGGGATTGACCCAAAGTAAATTATGACAACTGCATTTTGCTTTCGGCATCAGTCTGAAAGAGGGTACTTGGTTCTCTCGCTGGAGATCTCGAGGGAAACGTGGCCACCGAACGCTGCTGCACGAACAGGCCGACAGACGCAGCTGCATGTGGTGAGCAGCTGGACACGGGCACAAGACGACCAGAGCGAGGCAAACGTGAGCACCTTTAACATCAGTATCTGTCCCTGAACTTTTGGGATTCTTGTATCAGCTCCTCAGCTGGGAATTACATAAGGAATGCCTAACGCTCACC